AGCAGGAATCCCTGCTGCATGCCACGAAGATGATCGATGAAATTGTCAATAAACTTCTCGACGATTTGGAAGACGCCAAAATCCGCTTAATGTCGCTTTACGGCGCCTGCACATCTGACGTGCCAGCAGGACCCATCGACCAGAAGTTCCAGTCTGTGGTTATCGGGTGTGCCATTGAGGATCAGAAGAAGATCAAAAGGCGGCTAGAGACTCTGCTCAGAAACTTGGAAAACTCTGAGAAGTCAATCACATTGCTGGAGCACCAGAAATCATCTGTTCGACAGTCTTGCAACAGCAAACAGGATTAAACTGCCCTCCTGGCTGCTTCTGGCAAATCGCGGGACGAGCGAATCTCCATAAGGAAGCACACAGAAGCTAAGAAAAAAATTCTCCATGCAAGCACGCGCGTATATACGCACGCACATGCACCACAGTGTCTTCGATGGCGAGGTGCGAGCATTTAACGGGTTTTGGTAGCACTGGCATTTTCTTTTGGCAGTAAGGAACGCTGGCGGGAGTTCTCCTGTAGAGTCGGTACCGCTCTGTTGCAAATGGTAATTGTGCTTCTGCTGAACTGTCAGCAAGTGTCAGAATCTAGCCTTTCCTCCGTTCTCCTGGGGTGTTTTTTTTTAAACTGAAGTTGTTTTGTCACGTGGTGAGACTTCAGCCTTTCTCTGCTGTATACATAGTGTGCGACCTAGACTTTTTTTGGGGAAAAAAGACAAATCGTGGCAATAAATCAAAACCATTAATAAACTGTATATTGTATTTTCATAAACACCACACTGTCCTACTCATTACCATTTATAATTTTAATAATTTAGCACTACTCCTAAGTAGATCACAGTACTTCAAAGAGACGGATACCTCCAGTCTGTAACTGATAGTGTAGATTTGACTTACGCTGGCCTAAATTACCGGCTTATTTTCAAAATCCCTGCTTCTGTTTGCCTTCCACTTCCCTGACTCCTGTGTCACCTGCCCCCCAGGAGGTCTGCGATGCAGCCATCGCTACACCTGCTAAGCTTTGCGATGCCACAGCCATCAAAGATCCCGTAACTCTGAGCAATCGAATTCTAAAACCAGTGACACCGTCCTTGGAGCTTCTTGCACACAGTCCTACCTGTAGGACACAGCAAGTGACACTTTTTTTTTTTTTTTAACTGTAGTTTCACACTGCCTCTCTTAAACATGTATCCCTGTTAAAGGAACTCAAAATAGCTCAACAGAGTTGGCATCATACATGTAACAGATCAACAAAAGAGCAGATTCAAGTTTTTCACAATTTTCAAGATTTTGCTATTGGCTGTCAAAAACCTGATCGCAGTAGACAAAGCTCAACAGGCCTAGGCCAGCTGGGACAAAGGTGGGGTAAGATAAACCAATGAACTTTTGGTCCCGTTACCTCCTGAGCACTAAGTCAGGGCTGTGCTGACCTAAAAAATGCCTGACTATAAAAATGCGGGTTTTCTCACATTTGTGTTTTTTCTTTCCTAAAAGATGGCCAATTAATCCTTCCTGGGGTGTTCAGCAAGCAAATTGTTCTTCTGTGTGCAAAACTGCATGCAAGAGGAAGCAGGAGTGTATGGCCTTCCCCATTCCCGAGACAGCTGGGTACAAGGCGAGCTGTGTTCCCCCAGTTATCCATTTCTTTTCGGAAAACGCATCAGGCCTCCTTCCTCTCTCAGTAGCACTTCAATGCCACTTCCGATGTCTACAACCAGTCACTTAAACCTTGTCTCTGTATCAGCCAGACCAACGATGAAAAATAAAATGACCAGAAAGAGCAGAACACAATCTGCGTTTTGTATCTGAACTGCGTGGTGGAGAGATGAGCTCCGGGACAGCGTTCCTGTTCAGCTGGCACGCCCGCACTGGCTCCTCTGAGGGTCTGTGACGCGTGTGGCCTTGGAGCCCAGCTCCTTGCAACACACGGACTAGCACTGGGCACATGAGTTTCTCGAGCAGATTGAGGCTGCACAGCTATAGCATTAGAGCAATTCTTTTGCAATTTTAATACACTGACAATTTAATATAACCACAAAAGCAGTGACCTGTAACAGACCAAACAGTAATCAAATAAACACGTTTAAGTTGTGTGATACAACTCGTGTCACTTAAGAGAGAACAGCAGAATTGACTCGTAGGGATTTTACAGGAACGGCGTACACAGAATATTCAGTTTTAAACATTTATTTTTTCCACTTGAGGATTTACTGTAAGTTGTGTTGACTTTTTTCCCCTAAAAATATATTACAATTTCTTGAGATCATGACAGTGCTAAACCCAGTTATGTACATTATCTGCTGTAACCATTTAGATGCACGTGAACTTGCAAATAAGTCATCTGTTAGTAACAATGCATCTTTATCCTCGCACTGAGAGCAGTATTTCTCCTGGTCCAGATTAATTTTTAGTTTTTTTGACCAACTTCAGTCGGCTCTGCTGAACACCATTTCTCTCAGTAAGAGAAGAAAGAACACTCACTCCACAAGCTCTTCACCAGTATTACCCTACCACGAGAAACCTGAGAATAAGTCTAGCTCAGGACTGGGACTCCCCTTGGCTCACACCGAACACTTCTTCCACGCGGAACTGTGGGAAAGCTGCTCTTGCTCTGTTACAGCACCTTTCATCTCAAATCTTAACATTACTGCATTTTTTCTTTTATAATTTTGATAACCTGTTTGGATGCCATATTTACCAGAGGAGTATTTTTTTCTGCCAGTACTATTTGGGCATTAAAAAGAAGATGTGCATGACTGCTGCTTGCTATGACAAGCTGGGAAGGTCGCTGGGATGGGCTCCCAGCTGCTGGGCCACGCTTTGCTCTCTGCGCTCGGGCGCTGCAGCTGCGTTACGCTCAGAAAGCAGCAGGGGCTTCAGTACCGGCACTGGGGTCCAAGCAGCAGGTGCGCTGGTTTGCTGTTGGACTGAACTCCCATAGGAGGGTTCCGCAGTGCCAAGAACTACTTCTGCTGTTGACTGGTAGCTATCGCCTTCAGCCGATGAGTTAGCGGGTGCAACGCGCAGGCTGACGGAGCGTTACGCACGGAGCCCTGCCTAACCTCCCGGCAGTACAAGGGGTTCAGCTGCTCGGTTCCCTTTAGTACGACACACAGCTACGGAAGCGATGCAAAGGAAAGTTACGTGTCAGACAGGCTGTAGCCCAATAATGGACAGAAAAAGAACGACAAATTTTACTGAAGCATAAAAAAATGAAACAGGAAATGAGACGTGGTAATTCAGGCATTTTGACTAAAAAAGGTAAGCGTTGCCTTACAAAACACTGAAAATAAGAAAGCTCCAAAACTGTCTTAAGTGGAATATTTAATTTTTTTTAAATTAACCACACACACACAAGCACAAAAATCTTAGTGTGATCAGTCTTACAACTTTGAGACTTGTTATTTCCAGCTGGAAATACATCGCTAGCATTACTGCTTTGCACCGAACAATGCCCCGCTTACTGGGTGCACACCCATTCACTGAATGGATACAACACGGGAGGGACGGATGCTTTAGTGCCAGACTCTTCAGTCAATGCTTCTTCCACTACAGCATTAACCATCACTGACGTTTTCTACTAGTGGTAGCACTATCAGCTGAAAGCAAAGAATTCTGGCAAGATTCGGCCAATTCAGCCAACGAGCTATCCCAGGGATAGCAACAGGCAGGCCGGGAGTGCAGCGAGCTCAGTCTGACACAACAAAGCGCCGTGTCTCGTGGCAGGAACACCTGCGGCTCCTAACCCGGGATGCCCGCCTGCCACAGGAGTAGCAGAGGGCTGCAGCCTCTTCCACAGGCAGGAACACAGATGCGCACAGAAGGGTGTCTGTTACCAGCCCTGCCCCTGGAGGTAACGAAAACATACGGCATTTTCATGAGAACACTTTGAGAATGGGGCAATGCTTACAATAAAAATTATTCACAAGGGACAAAACGAGGGCTGAACGTTTAGGCACGTCTCTTCATCCCATAGGCAGAAGTTTCTCCCACTGAACAGTGATGCGAATACCTAAGGATTCCTGCAATGTGCAAGTCACCGGGTTCGCATCGCACACTAACCCCAGCAGGATAAAAATCAAACTTTCAAGCAGTGTACATGCAGAGCACTCTCCAGAAACACACTGATTTGGACAGTCTCCATCTCAGTCGCACTGGAGAGCAAGCACTGCAAAGTCACACCAAAGAAAGAGCCACTTCAGATTTAAGATGGGAATGAAATGAAAACTCAATGTCACCCCATGCTGCAAATATATACTCCTACGTTAAAGTATGCGTACTGAATTTCAACATACCCCAAATTTAGCAAGTCTATCAAGTATCCACCTAGGAAAATTTCTACTGAGTTTTAGTCCTTAAAAGAGTTGTTTGTAACAACAGACCTTAAGTACAAATGGCTTATGTAATAGTACAATGTCTACAGTATAACGTTTAATAGTACAAATGGTCATTATATGTAATAAAGACTTATTTTTCAGTACTCAACAAAGTCAAACAAGGCAAAAAAGATGCTTCAGACACTTTGTGGTTTTGTTTCTTGTTCAAGAAAAATGAATTAAAAAAATGTGAAACCAGCAGACAGACATGTAGAAGTTCCCATATGAAAACCAGTTGTTAAAATTCTTCACGCCTACACTCTGTCGTACATCCTGAAGCTGTAAGGTGGCCCCATGATGTCCAGTCAGAGTCTCATCCTCGGCACCTTACTTCTCAAATTGCTAAGACAGATAGGACTCGACTCCATTTATACATACATAAAGTGATTAAATGCACTTGTTAAAAAACTAAAGGCCTTTATCCAAGAGAAAACACAGGAAACATTACAGTGAAGAGCACACAGCTTTGATGCAACAGCAAAGGGGATCGGGAGCCTCGAAGGCCGCCTTCTTGCCAGCAACAGGAGATGCTCCTACAGCTCATCAAAGAAACAACCGTACTCGGTAGAAAGTGTGATGCAGTAAACATCAAATACAGAGTTCAGAGATCTTTAGTGTTTGTGCATAACTTGCCACCCGCTTCTCTCCCTGCAAACAGCAGGGAAAATGAGTACGCTTCAGGTTTCACACTCATTGACTTAGGAACAAAGTCAGTCAAGCTTCCTACATGAGTTCACACAGTGAAAAGTCCTTCCTCCAAAAATATACAGGATCACTTGACTCCTTTTCATTCTCATACACCATTTAAAAAAAACTATTTTAAAACTCTGATTTTTTTCAAGCAGCATATTTTGCATTCATCACTGGCAAGTTTGTTGTAGAAATCCTAGAAAGTTAAAATCATATCATACCATACAAAAACATGT